CAGTGGTATAAAATTTGCATCGAACGGAGGCCGGGAAGGGCCTCATCGGAGGCAAAAATCGAAGAGGGGCGCGGCAGCGCCGCTGGGTTTCGGCTGAGTTTTTTGGCCGTTTGGCCGGTGGTTTGGCTCCGGTTTGGCCATAGGCGGACTCAGCGTCGAAAAACGAGCAAGTGGAAGAAAAATTACCTCGATCGACAGTCGAAAATTTCCCCGGTGCGGCGGCGGGTGGCAGCGGCCGGCTCCTCCGGCGACTGGTTCTTCTTCTCCGGCGAGCACTGGCGGCTAGGGTTTCTTTGGTCAGGTGTGGGTGGGGGTATTTATACCCTTCGCCTTTTAATCTTGACCGTCCATCAAGATTGAATCTGGGCCGTTCGATCGCGATTTAATTGGGATTAAATCTGGGCCGTTCATCGTGATGTAATCTGGGCCGTCTGTGCCTGATTGAATCTGGGCCGTCCGTGCGCGTGAATCTGGGCCGTCCGTGCGCACGTTTGATATGGGTCGTCCGTGTGCGCGGGAACCGATCTGGGTCGTCCGATCGCGCGCACGCGGATCGCCCCCGTGGCCCGTCCCCTGGCTAGCGTGTTCTTGCCACGCGGCGCGTCCTAGTTGGCCGAGGCTACTGACTGGGCCGCTGACGTGGCCGCTGACGTGGCATAACTTTTCTAAATTACGTTTTGACCCCCGGTTTTTTATTTTCTTTTCAAAAATACCCCCAGAATCCAAATTTTCACCCTTTTTTCCCAAAATCGATTTCAATTAAATCAAAAAAATATTTTTACCCAATTTTATCATTATTATTATTTTTATTTTTATTAAATTAAATTAAATTAAATTAAATAAATCAATTAAAATTTTAATAATTACAAAATAAACTAAATAAAATAAATTAAAAATTAATAATAATAATAATAAAATTAATGGGTGTTACAGTGTAACTATTATTTTTTGTATAAGTTATTTAATAGTTTATTAAAATTGATATTTTGTTTTGTATGGGATAAAAATTTCAATTATTTAGTACCCATTAAGAAAATTGATTATCAATATGAATATTGTTATGTGGTCTTAAACTCAGTAATATTGACAGACGTTTATATTATTTGATATTATCAAGTTGTAAAGATACTCATCGGTTAAAATGCAGAACAACTATGTAAACCTTATCCATATGTAACATATATATATATTAGTTTATAGGTGCGTGACTATTTTTATTTCTATTTTCTAAAGCAAGTACAAAATAAATAAAGTGTTGTCCCTCATACTATTTGTGGACAAGAACCCTCAAAAATTTCATACCAAAATATTTAATAAATATAGACCACATTATAAGTTAAAAAAATTTTAATTCTAAATAAAAATAATCACCGACTATAATTTGAGTTAAAAATGCAAAACAAACAAAATATATTAATTTAATTAGACCATTGAATTTTTTATTAATAAAATTAATTAAAATATTAATATACTAATTCAGGTATTTAAAACATTATTATGATTAAATTGTAACTAACATAATATATCGTAGACACAGCACAATAATATTTCAAATGATACAAGTTTAAAAAGGTGAAATTTATATTAGATATTGAAAAAGTTTTGAAAATAATTTTTGTTAGTTACTTGTTTCCTTCTTAACACAAATAATGGGTTTTTTTTTCTTAATTTATTATTTTAATAAGTAATCATTTTTCATTAAAAAAAAAATAAACTTATCCTAAATAATATATAATAATTTAATAATTCAAAAAAATAACAGTAACTGAATTATAAAGCATATACAAGATAGTAAATTGAAAAACATAAGTTAATACAAAAATAAGAAGCATAGTGTTAACTTAATAGACATAATATTTATAAAAATTAATTATTTATAAATAATAAATAATAAAATAAAATAATTGTCTTAATAGTGCATACAAAAATACTGGTATATATAAAAGAATAACGATAAATATTAGATGATATTTTCTTTTTTGTCAAAAAATAAAAAATAAAAGTTATAATTATATATTTTATATAAAGATAAAATTTAACGTATTTTTATTTATTCAGATTTTCAAATTTTAAAAATATCAGAATTATATGAAAATTCAAATATATTTTAAAATATAAAAATAAAATTAATATGATGAAAATATATAGAAGTTATCTTTTTAAATTTCTTAAATTCAATTAACTTTTTTTTTTTTTAAAAAAGCTCAATTTCAAAATTAGACAAAAAGGAAGGGCGAATCATCTGCGCTTGAGCCTTGAAGGACCATAAACCCTATAAAACCCTAAAACGAAAAATTGGAATGTCTCTTTCGGCCGAAGGGCGAGGTTCAGGTTTCCCCTCGCTCAGCAGCAATAGCAGGCAGCTCCAACAATGGGTAGAAAGTACGAGTCAGTTGTTCAAGAAGTTGATACTTGCAACGAAGAGGAGAAGAAAAACAAGAACAATGAACTGCAAAATAAACCAACTGTGAAGCGGAAGCTCGAACAAGTTGAAGAAATTGATCTGAAAGAAAGCTTCACCAAGGAAGAGAAGAAGAAGCGCAAGAAGGAGAAGAAAAGCAAGAAGGAAAGAGAAACACACGAAGAAACTAGGAAATCAATTGAAGAAACCTCGATAAAAGAAAACGGTGATGGGTCCAAGAAGAAGAAAAAGAATAAAAAACATCGGGAAGAGAACGAAGATGGAAAAGCCATCGAGAGTCAGCCATCAGATGATTGTAGCGGCGAAAAGTCGAAGGTAGATGGTGGTCTAAGTAATGGCAAAGAAGAAGTGGAGGAAAATAAGGTGGTGGTGACTGGAAAAGACGTGGAAGAAGCAAAATACGCACCATTGAAATCCTTCGCGGATTCGAAGTTGCCTGAGAATGTTCTACAATGCTGCAAGAATTTCAAGAACCCGTCTCCAATACAGGCTCATTCGTGGCCGTTTCTATTGGATGGTCGTGACGTTATTGGGATTGCAAAAACTGGTTCAGGTGCTGTTATGTGTTAGATTTTTCATCAGAAAATGTAATTTTGGTTTAAGGGATATCTATTTACCTGAAACTTACATGTGTTTTTTATTTGTACTTACCAGGTAAAACTTTGGCTTTTGGGATTCCAGCCATTATGCGTGTCTTAAAGAAGAGGAAGGATAAGGGGTTGAAAAGGGTGAATCCGCTTTGCCTTGTGCTCTCACCTACAAGGGAGTTGGCTGTGCAAGTATGTAACTCAAATTTTGTTTTTTTCTTGTATTGCTGCGAGGTTGGGACATGGTATTTTTTCAGTTTTTCTTGACTATAGGTGGAACGATTTTCTTGTTATTCTGATGCATCCTCTGCGGAGACATTTCCCATAATTTTATAGGGAAGCTATATACCAGGATGATTCATTTGTTTAAGTTCCTTCAGACGCTTATAGGCATAATATTGTGAATTGTACTCTAATGAATTGCATGAGAAATAATAACAAATAATAATCTCGAGGGCATTTTTTAATGCAAACATATATTGGCATGTGGGGAATGATTGGATTTACTTTCTGGTCGCAGATTTTTGATGTTTTGACTGATGCTGGAAGAGCCTGTGGTGTAACGTCGGCTTGCTTGTATGGTGGAACGTCTAAGAAGCCTCAAATTTCTGCCCTTGAGTCTGGTGTCGTAAGATATTCTATCTTTCATTTGCACAAGTATACAGAGCGCATGCATAGACATGCCTACACCTTTTTTATCTTCATATCTACCTTTTTTTCCCTTTTGATTAGAATATTATCACAGGCCACCATGAAGTGCTGCCCCATGTCCACTTCCTTTTTCTTTATTTTGTGGTTATTCAAATCCTTTTGATCTGAACTGTGATCTGAGGGCTTCTAAAATTCCACATATAGCCGCAAACAGTTCAAAATGATAGTATGTGTCAAATGGGACATGAAAATGAAAGATGGAGTCATTTGCAGTTTTATGTATAGTTTATTGCTGGGCTTTTGTAAGGCTTAGGTCTAGTTTAGTTTGACTTATGAAGCAGCAAACTAAAATCTCGATTGAGCTGTATTAATGTATGCAGACATCTGGACTTAGTTGTATTAATAGCAATATGAAACATTTCGTCAATTAGTTGTAGATGATTGATAATGAAGCTACCATGTCAATCATGACATGGTAGAATTGGTATATATGGAGTGATCCAATCCAAAGGTCTTCTGTTTCTTCAGAAGTAATTTAGAATTGGTATCCATAAAAGTGTAAAAATTTTCTAACAGATCCCCAGAGTGATTTTTTTGGTTTGCTTATATTGGAAATTGATTTATTTTGCTGATCCTGCATCTATACTGTTCTCTTTAGGTATGTGCTCTCTTTTTCCTACTCACCTAATTAAAATCTTTGTGAAATGCACATAATGGTATTATCTATCTTGTGGTTGCAGGATATTGTCGTTGGAACGCCTGGTCGCTTGAAAGATTTGATTGAAATGAATGTTTGTTGCCTTAGGGAGGTGTCTTTTGTGGTAAGTAAACAGTAATTCATATAATTGATTTATGAATGCATTGATCGTAATTAGATGGTCCTCTTTTTTTTTTTTTGCATATCAACTCCATTTCTCTTCAATGATGGCAAACCATTGAATTTTTTCAGACTTTTATATAGCTTCATAATGAGAAAACTTCTTTAGGAGACTTGGATAAGTACCAACTAATGCTTTCTTCCTTGTATGGTTTCCTTCAATTGTCCAATTTCTCTTCAATTCCCGAGGTGTTCCTAAGTTCTTTTACACTGCTTTTTGGTGGTCAGCACTAATTGACATTGCTAATTTGATGCGTAAGCTATATTAAGACAAATCAATGAGGGGAAAAATTCTTGTGAATGGATGCTTCTTTTGCAAGTGAGATGTTGAATGTTGCAGGCACATTCTCTTTTGGTGCCTGGTTGACATCAACCTTTGGACCTTGGCGTATGGTCTGTTGGGTTTGAATTGGGTTATTGCTGGTTCCATTGAGGAGGAGCTTTGTGCCTGGACAAGCATTTAAGGGGATGAGAAGATTGGTCTTATTCCCTTACTTTTTGGGTCATTAAGAAGAAGAGAAACAGAAGGACTTTTGAGGGATTGAATCTGATTCTATTAACTTTAAGGATTCTTTGTTCCAAAACCTGAACTTTTTACTCAAGGTTATCTGCTTTATTCTAGCAAGGATTTTGGGGACTTTATAAATATTTTGATAACCTTTTAAATCTTTTACATGGATTGCACCCCCTTAGTGCTCTTGAATATATACATTGTTTATATAATATATATATATATATATAATATACCACTATCCTCTACTGGCAAAGGTCAAATTACCCAGACTAGTCTTCCCCTAATAGTAGAATCACTCTCTTTAGATCTAATCTTATTAAGATTATCTAATGCCACATAAGAATATGTTATTTTGAAAAAAATTTCAATCAAAGAAATTTGTGAATTAATTATCGTTTTTGTATTTAAATTTATTTAGGTTATTTAGGCATCGCAATATATTAATTTTCTATTTAAGAGAACTTAAGTATTATAGGAATTAGAATCCTTTAGATATTTTTTAATAACTTTATTTATTAATTGTAATTAATGCTTATATAAAGACTAGTAGCTACCAACAAAAAAAGATGGGCGATGATGAATTAAGACTTCTTTGCTAGGTCTATGATTATATTTATGATCAATAAGGGGATACAACTCATATACAAAATATTTACAGATCAATTAAGTATCATGAAATCCCCAAGATCTTTAGTAGAATAAAGGTGATCCTTAATAGAAAAGCATAAGGTCTAGAACCTCGTATTCTTATCCCCTTGAGTGCCCCTCCAAGCACAAAACTCCTCCTTAATAGATTTAGCAATAACCCAATTCAAAGGAATAACCTAATTCAAACCCAACAAATTGTAAGCCAAACTCCACAGTTCGCAAATGATCACTACAAAAAAATATGCCTTCAAGATTCAGCATCTCTCTTCCATGGAGGACATCCATTCACTAAAATTTTTCCTCTGATCAATTTGTCTAAAGTTAAAATGCATTGCTTAGTTGCCTCCCAAGCAAAGAAGGCTACCCTTGGGATTGTGTTGGCCCTCAATATATGTTTGGCTGGCAAATGGGAAGCAAATTAATTTAATTACTACTCATCTTGCATTAGTTGGTATTAGAGCCCAACTTCTACCCCCCACCTTTTCCTATCTTACACTGAAAGAGGGGGATGGAACAACACCACATCTGCCCAAAACAAGATCTTAAAAAAACTGAGGGACCAAAAAGAAAAAAAATGTGAAGGAAAAGGAAAAAAATGTAAAGATACGTACAATCCGAGACCAGTGGCTACATTCATCACTAACCACCCAATGGAGGTGATTCACGCAACCTTAAATTAAGTTCAGATGTCACCTACTAGCCAATATCTGAGCACTAATGACCAAAACCACTGGAGACTAATCACTCATTGCAGGACTCTTGATCTACCTTCACTGAATCTAATTCACTCGTATGTCTTTCTCTGCTACACCACACCAATAAAAATTGCCCATAACACAGTCCTTTCCCATTGCTAAAGCAAGATGACATAAAACCTGTGTAGTATAGTATGTATGTGATTTATCTCGAAAAGATGCAAATAACACTTTGAGCTCTCAATGACATGATTAGTGATGTGGATTTTGGGCATGCCATTGATTCGCTAACTACATTGTAAAGTTTTTGTATGGGGTTGGTACCCCCGATTGTTTGGTACCATGTTAATAAAATTTCACACTTTTTATTTAAAAAAAAACACTTTGAGCTCTCAAAAATGGCATGAATTTCTGTAGGTCCTTGATGAAGCAGATCGAATGCTTGACTTGGGATTTGAAGAACCAGTTCGTTTTATATTGAGCAAGACACAGTCTGGTCCGTTTTATGACGCTGATAGCTATGCTTTTCCTACTTCTCTAAATTTATGTTAATTGAAATCTCTTTCTTCATTACAAAATGTCCCCTCACTTGCTCATTACTCATAATTAATATTTGTCTGAAGAATTTTTATTCTCTGGGAGGTTGAACGGTCTGCTTTTTTGTTTCTTGGGGGAGGGCAATGACTTTACTTAATAATTTCGTTCCATAAATTTGTTCATGGAGCAAAAAATAGTGTGTGCCAAAATAGATTTATCTTGTTATCAACTGCTTGGTAAAGATAATCCTTATACGCTAACTTTACTGTAGGTTATTCTTCGTGTAAAAAAGGCTGTATTTCTTAAAATATTTGGGAGGACGTTATCTTTTAGTATCTTCACAGAAGTTTTATGCTTTAGTTCTAAGTTTCAATACCTGATTTCTTGAGGTTATGCTAGAGTCTATTTCTAGGACAAGATATTTTAGATTTGTGTTTTGCATGGGGTCTATCCCCTGCTCCTGGTGTTAATATATTTTTTCTTTTCTATAGAAAAATTTTTAGCCTACACTGTACTATCATTATAAATGTCTTGTATCCATGCAGCTCGCCAAATGGTAATGTTCAGTGCTACATGGCCATTAGGAGTACATAAATTAGCTCAGGAATTCATGGATCCTAGTCCAGTGAAGGTATGAATCTTCATTTTTTTAAAAAAAAAAAATCAGAGTGTGGAGTATATTGAAGTCTCGGCGCCAAGTACAGAAAATTTACATATCAATTAGCATATTTACAATGTAACAAAAGCCATCCAAACTATCAAGATTATGCCCTAAGACACTTCATATCTACAATGAATCTTCATGTTTTATCTTTATGTTTTTCTTTCCTCTTTTTTACACTAATGGAAAAGCTGCTCATGGCAGCACTTGAACCCTCAACTACGTGAGTCAGGAGAGGAGGCACTAACCAACTCTCCTGGAGTTGGTTTGTTATCTTTCAGTTGTTTGTTATGTTCTTTCTAGTGAGGATTACTATCATTATTTCAGGTGGTTATAGGTTCAGTGGATTTAGCGGCCAACCATGATGTTATGCAGATTGTTGAGGTTTGTTCTCTAAACGGCTAGATTTTTAGCCGATATAATTATCAGACATTAGTAAAAGCCTTGTGATAAAAATTTGGTCACCCCCATTTACAACATCTCTTTTGAAAATGCAGGTCTTGGACGACCGATCACGTGACCAGCGTTTGGTTTCTTTGCTTGAAAAATATCACAAATCTCAGAGGTAGTGGTAGCGAAATTATCTGCCATCCACAACTTTACCCATGTATATGTGGTGTATGCACATCAATATGGTACACTACAAATTAGAGAGAGGGAGCATTCATGTACGAATGTGATTCGATGTGTGTGAGGGAGAGAGGATGTCTGCAATTTCCTGTCTCAGTTGCTGCATTCGAACAATTGAATTATATATGTTTTTGCACCTTGCATGCTTTCTTTAATTGGCATTGCCTCGGCTTTTGTCATCCTGTATCTGAAGGAGTTTCCATTTTTGTTTTTGTCAATGGCAACCAAGTGCCATAGTGATATGGTAAATGGTGGTGGTGTGGCCTTATCGTACTGATTCAGAGCTTTAACTTTGTGCAGGAACAGGGTATTGGTTTTTGCCTTGTACAAGTTAGAAGCTGAGCGACTAGAGCATTTTCTGCAAACAAGGTAAATTTGTTTGACATTCCTGAAGCCTTTGGCATCGGCATGTTGCTCAAGCCAAAAACCCTGGCTATGCTAGTTGACAATTGAGCGACTAGAAAGCTGATTATTTTGATCTTTTGATTCTTTAGAGGTTGGAAGGTTGTTTCTATACATGGGAACAAAGCTCAACATGAACGGTCCAAGGCATTGTCGTTATTCAAGGAGGGAACATGTCCTTTGTTGGTATGTTGTTTGTGAGGTGTCTTCTGCCCTATGCTGCTTCTAGTAAATGTATTTCTTTTTTCTTGTAAGGGGAAAGTACATTTTTTTCCTCGGGCCTCACATGGAAAGCTAGATGAAGAAAAGTTAAATGAAAAACTTACCTTACGTAAAAAATATACATTAAAAATAAAAATATGCAAAAAGATGTGAAGTATAATAAAAAATTAAATTAACTAATAATTAATCTTTGTAAATAAAAAAATTATTTTAAGAAAAATGTTCTCATCCTCCTTCAATACTCCTCTCAGAAACCCAATTTGTCTTCTTTCGTTACAAATGCCATTGCCCATGTTGTGCTCAAAACAACAACCAAGATTTTCTCTTCTTCCCAAATCCTCTTCTCTGTTTATGGAGATCTTCTGTATCTTCTTCTCTGGTTATTTGTTTTTGCCCAGAAACCCAAAGCAAGGCATTTTAGACCTGTGGGTTGAATGACAACTAAAAAACTTGATAACAAAGAAGAATATCCAGCACTAAAAGTTGCATGTAGAACTTTTGAAGAATGGATTAATTCTTAATACCTGCTAGCGATTTTAAGAAAGAAGGTTTTGATACGGCATTTGTAACAATTCTTAATAATTGTTAAGAGATCAGTTACACCATATCCCGGTCACTCTGCTGTGCTTGGGGAAAGGAGATTGATGGGGACGTTGGGGGGAGGGAGGAAAAAAAGGATATTATTATGTGGTAATACAAAAAAGGAGAATGGTACTTTTTGGTTTAAAATTATTTGTGGTGATGTGGCAGTACAAACTGGAAAAAGCTATCA